AGCTCTTAGGACGGCAGTGTACATACTGAATCGAGTTTCAACCAAGGCTGTCCCAAAGACGCCTTTTGAGTTATTCAAGGGTTGGAAACCAAGTTTACGACATGTACGTGTTTGGGGATGCCCGTTTGAAGTAAGAGTCTATAATCCACAGGAAAAGAAGTTGGACCCAGGGACTGTAAGTGGGTATTTCATTGGATATGCCGAAAAATCCAAGGGATACAAGTTTTATTGTCCATCTCATACTACTAGGATTGTGGAATCAAGAAATGCTAAGTTTCTTGAAAGTGACTTGATTAGTGGGAGTAATCGATTGAAGAACATTGTTCCTGAGAAAGATCATTCAGATACTCAATCTTCCACTTCAAGTATTAGGTTGGTTGTTGTTCATAATGCCCCTTCAGTTCAGCCGGCTATTGAACAACCAACTATTGAAGTTCCACAACCTGCTGATATTCATCCGGTAGATCCAGTTGTTCAGCAATTACCAGAAACTGTTGAACAACCAGTTGAACAACAAGCTCCTCAGGAGAATGTTGATACAACATTAAGAAGATCTACTAGAATGAGGAAATTAGCAATTCCTGGTGATTATATTGTGTATCTACAAGAGTCTGACTATAATATTGAAGCTGAGAATGAACCTGAAACGTTTTCACAAGCCATGAGTAGTGATGAATCCAATTTGTGGTACAATGCCATGAAGGATGAGATGAGTTTTATGGCATCAAACGAAGTCTGGGATTTGGTTGAGTTGCCTAATGGTGCGAAGGCCATTCGTTGTAAGTGGGTCTTCAAAACTAAGAAGGACTCATTGGGCAACATTGAGAGATATAAAGCTAGACTTGTTGCCAAAGGATTCACTCAAAAAGAAGGAATCGATTACACGGAGACATTTTCTCCTGTGTCTAAGAAAGATTCTCTTCATATTATTTTGGCATTGGTTGCCCATTTTGATATGGAATTACATCAAATGGATGTGAAAACAGCGTTCCTCAATGGGGAACTAGAGGAGGAGGTTTACATGAAACAACCTGAAGGATTCTCCTCTAGTAAAGGTGAACATTTGGTGTGCAAGCTTAAGAAATCTATGTATGACTTGCAACAAGCATCCCGCCAATGGTACTTAAGGTTCCATGATATCATCTCTTCTTTCGGCTTTGTAGAGAATATCATGGATCACTGCGTATACCAGAAGGTTAGTGGGAGCAAAATTTGTTTTCTTGTGCTATATATGGATGATATTCTACTTGCAACCAATGATAAGGGGTTGTTGCATGAGGTGAAACAATTCCTCTCTAAGAGTTTTGACATGAAGGATATGGGTGAGGCATCTTATGTCATTGGCATTAAGATCCATAGAGATAGAACTCGAGGAGTTTTAGGACTATCTCAAGAAACTTATATCAATAAGGTCTTGGAGAGATTTCAGATGAAAGATTGTTCACCAAGTATAGCACCTATTATGAAGGGTGACAGGTTCAATTTGAACCAGTGCCTGAAGAACGATCTAGAAAGGGAACAAATGAAGAACATCCCATATGCTTCTGCTGTTGGAAGCTTGATGTATGCTCAGGTTTGCACTCGACCTGATATTGCTTTTGTTGTGGGAATGTTGGGAAGATATCAGAGTAATCCAAGGGATGGACCACTGGGAAGCTACAAAGAAAGTGATGAGATACCTTCAAGGTACTAAAGGTTACATGCTTATGTATAGACGGACTGACAACTTGGAAGTAGTTGGTTATTCGGATGCAGATTATGCTGGTTGCGTTGATTCTCTAAAATCAACATCAGGATACATTTTTATGTTTGCTGGCGGAGCCGTGTCATGGAGGAGTGCGAAGCAGACTTTGACTCTACTTCCATTATGGAGGCTGAGTTCGTTTCTTGTTTTGAGGCTACCTCGCATGGTGTATGGTTGAAGAGTTTCGTTTCAGGGCTTAAAATTGTTGATTCTATTTCTAGGCCATTAAGAATATATTGTGACAATTTAGCTGCGGTTTTTACGGCTAAAAATGCCAGAAGTGGCAATCGAAGTAAGCACATCGACATTAAGTATTTAGCCATAAGGGAACGTGTTAAGGAGAATAAAGTGGTCATTGAACATGTTCGTACTGAATTGATGATAGCTGATCCTTTAACTAAAGGCATGCCACCAATGAAGTATAAGGATCATGTGGCTAGTATGGGAATAGTTCCCATAATGTGATTTATCGTCGTATGTACGACTTTTGTTGTTTGAAACTCTTATTCAACTGTAATGTTATTCTCAATTTCTGGTGTAGACATTCGGTTGTTTATGAGAATAACAATTATCCTTGGTTCTGGAATAAACATAGGGTTTATTCATTAAGATGTGTTGTCACATATGGGCTAACATTAAAAGAATAAGATGCATTGTGATACATAGAAGATATTACTCGCTTTTAGAGGACATGTCGCCATGATTCATGTGTCTTGTTTCTTTTCTTAAGCATAAGGTTTTCGTGGATTTGGTAATCCGTATGATGAAAATGTTGGGATCAAGTGGGAGAATGTTATATTTATAATGTGATCCCACATTTAGGGATATAGTTTTTGAAATAAAACTTATCCGTTGGGTTATGACCCACATTTTTCTTTTAAGTGACGGTTATCTACATACGATTTTTTCCACGTTTCGTACCCGTTCGGTGACAACCGCCCTTTTCGACAACCGCCTTGATGAGAAGCAGTTTATAAAGATGAACGTTCATTTCGTAAGGGTTAACACAAGGTCTAACGCAAACCCTCTCATTCGGTAATATACCATCAGTACACGAGGGGATTGGGTTAGTAGAGTGCGCCCGTAATCGCTTTCGAATTGACGTCGAACTACCGTGGATTTTCAACGAAAGTAAAGTTGAACAATGGCTAGAGGTCAGTTTTTTTTTTTATCCTGTTTTTCGCATTTGATTCTAATTATGATTGAATTTTGTTCTTCAATGCATGATTAGAATCCTTCAGTGTTATTCTTACATTATGATGAATAAAAAATGCCTCCAAGATTAGGTAGTGACGTGTTGTCGTAAGATTTAGGTCATCTATCGCTTTCCACCGTACCACATTCATGTATGTAATCTTATCCTAGCTTCGAGATTTAGAAGTTCATACAAGTCAGCTTCACTGGGGAACTTGAGAGGGATGTGGCAAATTGGTTTAGATTTAGGCCATCTATCGCTTTCCACCGTACCACATTCATGTAAACACACATACAAATTTGAGTAGTGAAGGGCTCTAAATGTTCTTCATAACTTCAGACATATGACAACCCAAATAGTAATTATATGACATCCCTCAGAAATAATTTACGATATATGCCATAGTGCGATGAATTTGATCATACATTATAGATCATTCTTCAACATGTGCTATCTAATATCAGTCTTATAGCAAAAACAATTACCAGACCATATTGGATACACGTATATTTTGTATCGTTTGTTGATAACTCAATGCTTTTAAAATTATTGCATACTCAACCAATGACTTCAAGATACATGATGTCCCAAAAAAAATTCTTTTATAGAACGGTTCCTTGTTGAAAAATGGTCTCATCGCTTTAACTTCTTTGTCACTTTATCGGCTGTGGTTGGAGCTATCTTTTAGGGTTAGATTGGTATCCCAAACATGTACATACAAGTAAAGCACCGTGGTGTCTGTGGATAAAGTTGTGCGACTTGATTCAGTCAACTTAACTTCCTTTATTTCTATAGGATTAGGTAATGATCTTACAAAATGGCAATCTAAATTATTCAGTTGAAAGCAACACGCAAACATCAAGAATTCAAGATTTTAATTCAAAAGTAGGTTTTTTTTTTCAAAATTTAGGTGTTCCTAGTTTAAAAAAAGAATTGGCTCGACATAAACATTAGCTATACAATCATTGCTTCGCTGTTTCTCACATCCTAATTTTACTTTCTTAGAAAAAAGAAAACAAAGAAAGAGTACCCATAATATATAATAACAGAAGGATATATAGGTTGAGTAGAAATGCATGCATGTACCGTTTTTCATTTCTAAACTACAACTTTATTTCGATTGGAGACACACGTGATAGACTGAGTAAACAAGAAGACTTTTGTACCTTAATGTCCCTTTCTGGTTTTATATTGAGCTAGAGACAAACCACCATAGGGCAATATACAAAGGGCTATATTTTCTTTTTCTTTTTTTTTCTTTTTTTTTGATGACCCAGGGAACCCCCGCACGGCCGACAGCCGGGAGGTAAACCCTGGGGGCGACACGTGCTAGCCACCACACACGTGCACCGGTTAAGTCACCCTGCGGCACCCGGGATTCGAACACTCAACCTTTTGCGAGAGGAAGAGTGCGCGCTCCAGCAGTGCCACCCAGGCGGGTGGTGGGCTATATTTTCTTTGGTCCTTGATTAAAGGAAAAATCCTTTGCTTGTACCTTTGATTTGTGGGTTCACCTTACAAGTCATGATATTATAAACATTATCACCACATAACAAAATGAATGAGAGCACTAATCAGAAGATTAGTTGGAGGAATTTTCCTGAAACCAGGGTTGGGGAAATAACATGATCTCTTTGGAAATCCTGATTAATGATACTTGATGTAACGGTTACTTGAAGTACTTTCACATGTTCCGGATGTTGATTTTACGGTGGGTTATTCTAAGAAGCGCACAATACTATACCTAGCTAGTATTTATTGAATTAAAACATAATCATGCGTGCGTGCATAACTTGCACTTACTTGGGGAGTTTTCATGTCTGCTGATATACGTTCTCAAACCGTGCATTCACTTCCAATTCTGTTAACTACATGCATCCGACGTCTCCAATAAGAAAAAAAGTGGGAAACTCGAGAAATAGCACTTGCTATACAGAGCTAAGGGACAGAATTCGTCACTAATTGCAGTGGGTTTCATTCATTCGTATGCAAAAATCAGTAGACATCCGAGACGACTCGTGCTTGAAATCACCAAAAGAACCATCTGAAATGCAACAAAGCTGCTCACAACAGTGAAGAAACCGTTTTATTCGACCATTATTACAAAAGCTTTTAAGCTTCCACGAGTTACGTGGCATACATTCTCATACAATCCCCACAGGATGATGGACCCATTGAGTCCATTATCTAATTCTTGACATCTTCAGTTTCTTCCAGAGGGTGACCACCGTGATGACCGCCATGGCCATGACCGCCGTGGCCGTGACCACCGTGGCCGTGGCCGCCATGATCCTTTTCATAGCCGCCTCCATACCCCTTTCCGCCATGGCTGTAGCTGCCATGACCCTTGCCATAGCCAGGTCCATATCCGTGGCCGTAGTTAGCCTCCTTCACGCTCTCCTCTGAAATATAAACCCAGCGTGTATGATTATATTTGTGTACACTAACATATTACATGTGATCTAGTTTACTGTGTATGAATACATAAAGTACTAAGTTAATATGAAACTATCTAATAATGCTAACATTTCATTGACCTCTCTGTGATGACCACCACATCTTGATATTGTAAAACATTATCTCGTCAAAATTCATAATCTTTTAATCTACCATGAACAACTGAAGCTCGCAAAAGGTTGACAGACCCCTTATAATTAAGTCTTGCAATTCACGTCGTCCATCACCTCGTTAGAAACATTTCTATAAATAGTTTTCCATGATTATTTGTCTATCTGCCTATAACAAACACGAGTGATTACACAACGGACAATCGTGCGGAAACACATACGCATCAAACGTGAGAATGCGATTCCATGTTTTCCATCAAACTGAAGAGAACTAGAGAAGTAAGTTGAGGAAGACTTAAATGTTGAGATCTGTAGCACTCACCTGACTGAGTCTCCTCAGCCAGCTCACGAGCTGAGACCTGCGCAGCCATGAGAACAAGAACGGCCAAGAGGAGGCCGCACAGAAGAAAAACCCTAGGGGAAGCCATTTTCATCGTCGAGGGCTAGTGGATCGCTAGAGAAATCTCAAGGAAGACAGTGCAAGCGAGTACGTGGTTACACTGCAACTGGGGCGGCCTATTTATAGGGTGAAGAGTGGGGAGTCAAACAAGAAGATATGAGTGTAAAACCTCAAGAAATTAATATCTTAAGGCAACAAGAGTGGCGGCTAAAAGCAGCCATAATTGCTCTTGTATATTGTGTTTAATAATATATTTGTACATCTCTTTGTAAGAGAACGAACGGAAATAAATACATGGAAGAGGAGCAGTGCTAGGGCTCCAATTATAGTAACAAATTCAGTTATGGAATAGAAAATATATAAAGACTAATTAGGAAAATAATCATGGAGGAAATCTCTGCTGAGCTGTAGCCTTGTTGTCTAACATCCCCCCGTAAGCTGATGTGGCAGGAGCCACAATAAACTTGATCTGAAGAAGATGGAACCAAGAGTGGAGAGGCCTTTAGTGAAGATGTCGGCTGGTTGATCATGAGTGGAGATGTACTGAACATGAAGCTGTCCTTTGGCCACATGCTTGCGCACAAAGTGGTAGTCAATCTCTACATGTTTAGTGCGAGCATGGAAGATGGGATTGCCAGTAAGATAGATAGCAGAAAGATTATCACACCAAAGGACAGGAGGAGTGGGCAGACGAACATGAAGATCGTGCAGCAAAGCTTCTATCCAGATAAGTTCTGCAGTGGTGTTAGCAAGACACTTGAACTCAGTTCAGTATTGGATCGGGCAACGGTCCGTTCTTTGCGGGAGCTCCACGAAATGAGATTTGAACCCAAGAAGATGCCAAACTCGCCAACAAAGCAACTAGTATCTGTAGCACCAGCCCATCCCGCATCGGAAAAAGCATGCAGCTGAAAAGAAGAGCCGGGAGTGAAGAGAATACCATGATGTTGAGTGCCTTTGAAGAAATGAAGGATCCTTTTAACAAATTGCCAGTCAATCTCAGTGGGAGAGCGTATGAACTGACAAGCTGTGTTGACAGCATTTGCGATATCTAGGCGAGTAAGCGTGAGATACTATAGAGCCCCTACAATGCTGCGATATAGCAGCAGATCGGAGAAGAGTGCACCAAGATGAGCAGACGGGGCACCAGCCGAAGTGATACACAGCGTGGAAACAGGACGAGCCTCGGTCATTTTGGCCCGCATAAGTAAATCTACAACATATTTAGCATGATGGAGAATAATGCCTTGATCTGTCCGTTGTATTTCAATGCCAAGAAAGTAATGAAGCTCTCCCATATCTTTAATAGCAAATTCTTGCTGCAGAGATTTAATGAGAGCCGACAAGGGCGCATTTGGTGACCCGGTGATAATAATGTTATCAACATAAACGAGAAGGAAGATACTATGCTGATCTGTATGAAGAATAAAGAGTGAGGAATCAGCAACTGAAGGAATGAAGCCCAGTTGAACCAGAAAAGCACTGAGGCATTGATGTCAGGCGCGAGGAGCTTGTTTGAGACCATAAAGAGACTGCTGTAATTTGCAAACATAGCGGGGATGAGCAGAATCAACAAAGCCAAGGGGCTGCTCCATGAAAATTTCTTCTGTTTGGTGACCATGAAGAAAGGCGTTCTTCATATCAAGCTACCGGAGTTGCCACCCACGTGAAAAGGCAAAAGAGAGGAAAGTGCTAATTGTCACATGCTTGATGACAGGGCCGAAAGTCTCATTGTAGTCGATGCCTTCTTGTTGATGGATTCCCTTTGCAACCAATCGAGCTTTATACCGCTCAAGAGAACCATTCGCACGGAGCTTAACCCAGAAAATCCAATTGCAGCCGATGGGTTTACAATTCAGAGGAGGAGACATTAATATCCAGGTCTGATTTTTTATGAGGGCAATGTATTCATCTGCCATAGCCGCACACCAATTTGCATCTTTCACAGCCTGACTAAAGCAAGAAGGTGTGACAATATCTGACATAGAGGTGGCCAATGCATAAATGTGATTAGTGCGAATGTGTCTGCGGGCTAAAGTACCATCACGAAGGCGTGTCACCGTAGCATGTGTCAGCTGAGCTGGTGGATTCGGCAGAGAAGCTGCTGGCAGGATTGGTGAAGCTGCGAACTGAGAGGGAGACCCATCAGCGGGTTCATGCAGTGAGGTTCCGGACATACCTGAACTGCGCTGATTCTGCAGCAAAGAATTAGCAAACTACAAATCGCAGTTAAAGGGAGAATAGGGCTCACATGGGGGTTGTTATGGCAGAGGAGTTCCAAACAACTCAGCAGAAATAAGCGGTTGAATGATTGCGGCGGCCTCCAAAGATGATTGCAGAGTGTTTTGAGCGTAAGGGAGATCTAATTCGTCAAACACTGCATCAGCAACAATGTAGAATCGTCGATGCTAAGGGGAATAACATCGGTATCCTTTGTATCCTGATGGGTAGCCCAAGAAAATACACCAATGTGACCGTGGTTGCAGTTTGTTCTTTGCATAGGGTCGAAGATTGAGATACACTGTACAGCAAAAAACTGTGAGATGAGCAATAGATGGAACCATATGAAATAAGATCTGCCATGGTGATTTATTATGCAGAACCATATGGGCAGCCGATTGATAGTGTGTACAGTTGCTTCAAAGGCAAAGTCCCACTAATGATAGGGGACATAAGCATAATAGAGCATCGCGAGTCCCATTTCAACTATGTGGCGATGTTTGCGCTCAGCTGAGCCATTCTAAAGGGGTAGGCATGGACAGGAGGTCCTGTGAAAAATACCTTTCGCTTGCAATAATTGAACAAACGGTATAAAGATAAACTCTCCTGCACGGTTTGATTGAAAAGCTTTGACCTTAGTGTTAAGTTGATCTTCAACGAAGGTGAGGAAAACAGTGACAATGGATAAAAATTGGTCACGAGAGTGAAAAAGATAAAACCAAGAAAATGTAGAGTAATCATCCGTAAAACAAACATAGTATTTATTGTTTTTGGACAACGTGACAGGAGCAAGCCCCCAGACATCAAAGTGAACTAGTTCTAGGGGAACCTTGGACCTATTAGTTGTTGGTGGATGAGATTGTTTATGACTCTCACTGGAAAGACAAGTTGAACAAACCGGAATATGACTTAACGACTTATTAAAGATTCTTGAAATAGTAGGAAATGTACCATGACCAAAACGACGATGCCAATGGGTGAGTGACTCCACTTGAGAAACGAAGCATGTTGGAGACGTAGGTGACAACGATAAGAGTGCGTAGAGGGGTTGATTAATGTCCCCCTGGAGAAGGATCCTGCCTGTACGACAGCTTTTCACAAAGAAACAGTTCAGTGAGAAAATAAAGTCTCATGAATTTTCAGCAGAGAATTGACGAATAGAAATTAAGTTCTTAGTGACAGATGGAACGACCAGGATATTAGACATGCGAAAATCATGGGTAATAAGGGTACCTGTGTGAGTGATGGGAAGACTTGATCCATTACCTATGGTGACCTACTGAGTGCCATGATATGGCTAAACTAAGGACAGCTAATGAGGATTGTTGGTAATGTGATGTGTGGCACCTGAGTAGGGATACTAGGCATCAGGAGAAAGCACCGATGATGGAGGAGGTATCTCAGCCAATTGAACTTGTGGTGGAAGTGACTGCTGCTGGTGCGTGTGGCCTCCAGAGAACCCAAATTGTTGGTTGAACCAATTGTGACAAGCAACGGCCTTGTGTCCTGGGCGATTGCAAATTTGACATCTCACATTGCTGCGTCTTTGATTTTTGTTGCCATTGAAATTTTGGTACTGAGAGTTGCCCGAATTATTAAAGTTGGGTTGCAATCCATGAGGATTAAAATTCCTCTGTTGCCCCGTATTTGAGTTGGGGCTATTGAAATTGGAAGCGGGGCCACGCTGTGAATGGGAATTTTGGCCCAAGCTGGAGTTGTGCACAACGAAGGCAGCTGGTTGGGTGGTTTGTGGTTCCTAGAGCTCTAACAGTGCTTCATGAGCCAAGAGAAGGCCATGAAAAGACTTCCTGGTCATTTGTTGATGCTAAGTGTGAACCGAAATTGCAACAGCCAAGCTTTGAAACTCAGCTCCTAGGCCTCGGAAGATATGCGTTCGGTACTCTTGTGGTGAGATGATCTCACCAATGGAGGCCAATTGATTAGATATAAAAGTAGCCTGTTGAAGAAATTCGGTCACGGTTTGATTACCTTTCTGCATCGTCTGAAGTTGCAGCCGCAATTGGGTAGCTCGCGCACTGTTTTGGGCAGCGAAAGATGCAGAGAAGAAATTCCACACGGCAGGAGAGGTGCTCAAATTAGATAACTGACTCACAATTGAATCGGTTGTTGTGCTTAAGATCCAACCGAGAGCAATCTGGTCTCGTGTATCCCAGTTATCGTATTCGGGATTGGGCACAATATTGGAAGAACCATTTGCATTGGTTTGAGTAATCTGTTGTGGAGGACATGACAGAGTTTCATCGACGATCTAAATCAGTTTATTTGCTTGAAGGAAGGGGAGGTTCGAGCTTTCCACACCACGTAGTTGTCCCCAGAGAATTTCACCCCAAGATTTGGACAACCGGATGACCCCATGAGATTTTCGAATGACGGAATGACGAGGCTGGTGAGAGACAAGATTGTTGAACTGGACGACATTGAGATGCTAACAGCAGCTGGAGTCGCAGGACTTGATTATGTTGAGGAACTTAGATCGGAACTCATGGCTATGATGCTTTCGCAATTGATAGCTCTGATACCATGCAAAACCTCAAAAAATTAATATCTTAAGGCAACAAGAGTGGCGGCTAAAGACAGCCATAATTGCTCCTGTATATTGTGTTTAATAATATTTTTGAGTAAGAGAACGAATGAAAATAAATACAGGGAAGAGGAGCAGTGCTAGGGCTCCAATTATAGTAACAAATTTTGTTATGGAGTAGAAATTATACAGAGACTAAACAGGAAAATAATCGTGGAGGAAATCTCTGCTGAGCTGTATCCTTATTGTCTAACAATGAGCTGTAGCGGGACCCACCTGACTTTGTACGGTTGTGATTGCTTAAATCGGGAGGAGATGCCTCCAAAAGGATTCACGTCCAAGAGTCAAAGATTGGAACGAGTGGCGGGGACCCGCTTGTGATCTAGCTTGAGTGCCGTGGCGAGTGAAAGTTGACGATTTGCCACCCAAATTCTTCGAGATCAGTAACGTCTCTATCTCTTGCTACGAAGCACGAGTCATAATCTGGGGAAAAATTCAAAGACGTGGCACATCGAGTCATTTATATCTTGTGGGTTCTTTCTATAGCACCCCAACTACTCACGGTTGACTAATTGCCAAATCTTCTTTTCCTGCTAAAAGATGATGGAGATAGCTTGTAAAAGGGTCGAAAAGAATATGAACAGAGAAGTTAAATAGAGTTACAAATCAAGACTTCGTTTGTCTCACGAAAAATAAATAATTTTTAATAATTTTCTTAAAATCGATGACTTGTATCGTCTACAATAATAAATGAACAATAAATATTTTCATCGTACAGGAAAATATTTAGAGAAAAATTATTTTCGATAATGAAAATATTTTTCATTCATTAATTATTTTAAATCATATAAGTGATTGATTTTAGGAAAATATTTTTCGAATAATTTATTTGCCGCGAAACAAACGGATTGAACATACAACATCCTAGACATTGAACGTGAATCAATATCACTAGAAATCGTAAGGATGAAGTGTTACCCCTTTTCATTTACAATGCGAAAGCAACACTCCCTCTCTCATCGCCTTGATGAATTATGTACGTACTAGTTTATTGAAATAATATATTCAGGGCCCGTTCGTCGGTGTATTTTTGTGCGTTCTGTATCCTACATTAAATGCCTACGTCCTTCCTTACGTCACCCGTTGTCCTAGTGGGATCGAGAAGGGCTTTGTTGCACCCCACATGTTCGATCCTTACTCTCCCTGGGCCAGAAGAACTGGTTGCAGGCATTCGTCTTATTTTTGCATGCATTTCACGATTCTCTCGCTCACGGGATATTAAATTACCGACACCAAAGTTTGAATAATTGAATAGATATTCTCGAGAGAGCTGGACCTATACTGAATCCACGAGAAAAGGAATATGAATTCCCATTCGTTTTCAAAAATGAGTGATTGATTTTGTCGATCACTTTATAAGTACATCTATAAAAAAAAAAGGTCATAAATCCATTTATTAACTCATATTTGATGGGTTTGATTGTTAAATATGTTGGTTATATTCAGTGAATGGGTTATAAATGGGTTCAAACTCAACCCTAGGGGTCATAAATGAGTTTAATGTAGGTATTAAATGGGTTCACAACTTACTTACATCCAACTTACCTCTATGACTCTCTTTTCACTCTTTCTTGCACTCGCTTAGTCTGTGCTTTCACCTTAATTTGGGTATGATTTTTCCTAAATTGGGTTAATATGAGTCGGGTATGGGTTATTATGAGTCACTAGATTTGTATTGCGTGAAAATGGATCAAAATGGATTAAATAGGTCAATTTGAGTAGGATAATTTTTACCTGATCCACCCATTTGACAAGTCTAGTTATAAGGATGTGGAAGTGAATCTATATCTTTACATCTTGTTTATGTATAATGGCGGTGCTCTCCCGTGGTTTCATCTCCGTCCATATCTTTCGATTGATATATGTGCTTAAACAGGAGTAGTTGGTGTCTTACCAGTTGTGGATTAAAAAGAGTGAAGTTACTTTTTCCTTTTCCCAAAATTCTGAATTTAAAAAATGATTCAGTCTTAATGACAAGTTTCAGATTAACATAATAATTTCAATATTTGTATGTTTGTAATGTTTTGGGCATTTGGTAGTGCACAAAAGTCTGATTTCAATGGACGGTACCCCCACATACGTGCGAACAGATCAAAAGTAGACATGTATAGTGCGCAGACCTCAATAGTTTATGCGTAGATTGTTCTTCAAATTACCTGAGCTGGTAAAGTTTGGAGGCGACATTGCAAATTCATCTCCTTTAGAACTGTATCAATGACCATATGAACAGAAAACTTCGAGCAGTGTAAGATTGAGAGAGAACGGTATGCCAAAACTTATTATTTCAAGAATCCCAATAATCTCTTTTTTGAAGATTTTTGCACTCGAGTTCATAGAGTGAAGGTTTACGTGTTTTAACTTCTGATGTAACATATTGAGAACCAAGATCGAAAAATATGGTTGCTTTCTGATCTTCGTCAAGAAAGCTAATTATTCAAGTCATGATATGACTTCCGCTATGCCATTCACTTAAAGAAAACTAGTTATGACGAGAACTTCATATATCGATTGGAGGCTAGATTTCTCTAGAGCTGTTCATAAAGGTGGATTCACCATTTATTCAACCATACACGAGAGCTTTAAGCTTTTAGGAGTTACAGGATACATTACATTCCAACATAAAGTAGCGCAACATAGGGGGCGGATCAACAAGAATCCATGCATCATCTAATTCTTGACATCTTCAGTTTCTTCTGGAGGGTGACCACCATGACCGCCGTGGCCACCTCCACCACGACCGCCTCCACCACGACCGCCGTGGCCGCCTCCACCACGACCGCCTCCACCACCTCCACCACGACCACCTCCACCGTGGCCATAGCTGCCACCACCACCGTGGCCGTAGCCAGGTCCATATCCGTGACCGTAGTTAGCCTCCTCCACACTCTCCTCTACAATGAATTGGGAAACCATTAACATGCTAATACATCTGTTTTCATTGGACGAAATAAGAAAAGGCTGGCTATTTCTTGCGTAGCTCGGAAAAAAAATCGGTCCTTCACGCGATGTTCTGCACATGCATATTGGAATTTGGATGTTTTGTGCATATTTGACTACTTAGGAATTTGATTCCAGTCCTAAGAAATGTAGTTTTTGGATCGACCTAGATTAGTTCGTAGAAATCTAAACTTTGCACAATCTAATTCGAACGAAATAAAGTTTGAATGATATAACTACGGAGTTTAATCAGGATGAATTGGACACTCACGAGACTGAGTATCCTGGGCGAGTTCCCGTGCCGAGACCTCAGAGGAGATGAGGAGAACAATGGCGAAGAGTAGGCCAAAGAGCACAATAGTCTTCGAGGACGCCATTTCGATTCGAGTTAAGTGAATTTGCAAGTGATGATTGTGTAGTGACCTCGCTTCCATATTTATTGAAGGAGGAGAAGCAAGAAGGTGAATTGTGGTGGAACCAGATGGTTTTTGGACGGTGATGGTGGATCGACAAGTGTCCAAGTGTTCATGTCTTAAGAGTCAATTTCTGTATAGAGAGGTGGGACCCGCGATCACAAATTACCATATATATCATTAGTATTAAGAAAATCTTACATTTACAGTCTCATGCACCATTGATTGATTTAAGAGAGTGGGTTGTAAAAAAACATATGTTCTATTTTCCCTTTATTTGTTTATGTCTTCGGCCAGATTCCTTCGAGATTGATCTCTATAAATTTTCATATCATGTGGCCATTCGAATAACTTATTTGGGTACTAAGTTCTGTGAACTTCTTTAATCTAACAGAATAAATTCTATGATAAGATAACATTAAATTACTAATTATTAACTGATAAAGTCGATGGTAACGAGACAGTCCAAAATCCCCAAATTATTTTTCCTTTTTGGTTGACAGCATCTATAGCGTGATTAGGTGATAGTTGGAGTGGAAAACTGAAGGATGTGGCAAATCGGTTCGTGACTTGCAGTTCACTATCATGTGATGCAGCTCTGTAGAATCTCTCTTTTGCCTTAGTGGAATGATATTCTGATTATAAAGTCATAGAACTCTCTAATCTCTACATATAGGGATCATGAAAGTGGAAATATATATAGACATATACGTGAGGAGAATAAATAAATATATAAGTAATGGAGATTATGAATGCGAGGCTTTGAGCTTGAGCTACAACTTAAAGTCAAGTATTATAGGCATGGCATGTGATATATATTTGGCACTTGATATTTAGACCATCAACGTCCAACCCTATACTGAAATTAAGAATGATAATCATTCATGCCTCAACCGGAGGGTATTCGGGCAAGTTGATATATATGGTAATTTGTGATCCAATCAAGAGAATTATAGATCATGGCATGCGCACAAAACAGGCACGCATCGGGGCAAGTTGATGTTGCTCGCAGCTAAATTTCAATCCCACAACCATTGATCCTTCTACACCGATATTTCGATCAAGAAGTCCGCTCTGTTTGCGATGACATTGGATCTCTTCTTCAGCCTAGATGCATACTCGATGATAGATTTATTAGCAAGAAAGGAGTTTGATTCGCTCATCTTCTCCAAACGCTGTCAGGGAGCTCTAGCATGTTGGTGATCTTTTGGTATGCAATTGGCCGAAGTATTGAGGTCACCTCTTCGGGTTGTATCGTTGTGCAAGCTGTGCCTGCCCTTCATTAATGGCAATACCAAAGCAACCCTCACACATAAAAGAATGCCAAAGTCGCGCACGTCCCTCCTCACGTCACGTTCACCGCAAGAGTCCTCAAAGAGAGGATAATGCGTGCCCCCACACGATTGACTTTCGACGCCATCTGCTCCAGATACAGGCTTCTCCACCGACTTGTAACGTGCAAGTTCCTGTCTTCGTGTCTCTCTTATCAGTTGTGTCGTTTTCTTTGCATGGCTACGCCCTGTCTCGCGTCACTTCCATGTCCTCGTCCACGTGTCTGCCTCTTAAACGGACGTCGGCCAACCAGCCATGCTGCAAACAAGGTTGTCGAGCGTGTGAGAACGCGGTCCACTTCGTGAACTAAATGCACGGGAGAGGTCTTGCGGGCTCTGATGAGTGCACGAAGAGTCCCACTTGATCTGAAAATCTGGATGCATTGCATTGAACTCTCCCGAATTCAATGCATGGAATACTTTTCACGTGCTACTTGGTTAAATAAGGGATATGATGGGGATAATTAGAAAAATTATATATATATGTTCCTTTCTGGTCTTTTATAATAATCGGTTAAATTTTAATATGTGAGTGATATCCATACTTTGTAATTCACCATTGATGGACATTATAGTGTCCACCGACAAAACTTTTTTGGTATGTCATAGTTATTCACGGGCGAATTACCAAAAACAGTCTTAAACCTATTGCAATTATGCCAATTCAGTCATAAATCTTTTTTTTGCTAATTGAGTCCTAAACCCAGCAATGGCGAGGGGAAACCTTGCCGGTGGCTGGCAAGAGGAAGAAGTAAAGAAAAAAGAAAGAAAGAGAAAGAAACGAAAAAAATTCGAAAAAATAAAAAAATTCGAAAAAATATTAAAATATTATTAAAAATTGTTCACGTCAGCGCCTATCACGCCATGTAGGACAACTAATGTCCATGTCAGTGATTTCTAGCCAAACTTGGCATGATGAACTAAATTGCCACAAATGCAAAAGATTTAGGACTCAATTGGCAAAGAAAAAGGTTTAGGACACAATTGGCAATTGCAATAGGTTTAAAACTTTTTTGGCAATTTTCCCGTTATTCGCTTATATGGTCAGTGTGGAATAAGAAGTTTAACAGTACCACATATCGCCTTTAGACACATTGTTCACGAAGCATGCTTGAGATTGTATTCTTGTCAATATGTCAAGTCTAAAGTTACGGAATAATGTCATGGTAATCGTAAAGTAATTGGGCTATAAAGCTGATAATTGCGGTAATTTTTGGATACTCTTTTTCGTAGGGGTCATACTGATAATATAAATTTGAGAAGTAAAGTTTCTGCAATATCCCAAAAAATATATAAAAACTTGGGAAAAACCACGTCTACAAAGGGATGAGCTGTGTTGTTGCAAGATCTGAGAACCCAATTGAAAAAAAGAGCAGGAACGGATTAGGAGTATAGGAAAAAGGACGGGATATTCCAAACAATTATTCCGATCCATCAATAAAGGGTTTTTTTGTAAATTTACTCAATTTTATTATGACTACTAAAATCAGACCATAATTTAATTAGTCGGTCCATTATATATTCTATAACTCCACTTATTCATGAAAAGACTAGAATAGAATATGCTTTTTTTTTCTATAATTTCAAAGCAGAGGTCACCTTGAAAAAAAAAATGATAAGTGCACTGAAAGTCCTAAAACTTGTCATGAAAGTACAATTGAATCCTGAAACTTTCGAAAAAAGTAATTAAGTCCTAAAACTTGTCAAATAAGTACAATCAAATCATTCCGTTAACTCCGTCCAATTTGGCTAATGGAAAATGCTTATATAGCTTTTTTATTTTCTCTCTCCTACGTGGCTAAAACGACGTCATCTTGGTTGAAATCCGAATTTTTTAATATAAATTTTATTTAAAATAAGGAAAAAAAACAGAGAGAAAGAAGCAGGCAAGGGCTTGCAGCCCCCGCTGCTGCCGCTGCCAACCCACCATTGCCAGGAAGGACTGGCGATGGCGGGGGAAGGGTTGGTGGGAGTCGCCGGTCCCCGACTAAGGGTTGACAACCCTCACTGGCCCTCGCTCAGGTTTGGCTGAGGGTTGCCACTAGCGGCCCTCCGCATCCAAACTTGGGCGAGGGCCATCGACCCTCACCCAATCTGAGTGAGGGTTGTCGGCCCTTCCCGGCGATGGTGGTGGTGGTGGCAACGAGGGCTAAGCTCTCGTTTGTTTAATTTTTTTTCTTTTTTTGTGTTTTTTTAAAATTTTTGCTTTTTTTTATATAACTTAAATACAACAGACGAGACGACTCGTGTAAACATCAGTAGACATATGAGAGGACTCGTGCTTGAAATCACCAAAAGAACCATCCGAAATGCAACAAAGCTGCTCACAACAGTGAAGAAACCGTTTTATTCGACCATTATTACAAAAGCTTTTAAGCATCCACGAGTTACATGGCATACATTCCCCACAGGATGATGGACCCACTGAGTCCATTATCTAATTCTTGACAACTTCAGTTTCTTCCGGAGGGTGACCACCGTGATGACCGCCATGGCCATGACCGCCATGGCCATGACCGCCATGGCTGTGACCACCGTAGCCGTGGCCGCCACGACCCTTTTCATAGCCGCCTCCATACCCCTTTCCGCCATGGCTGTAGCTTCCATGACCCTTGCCATAGCCAGGTCCATATCCGTGGCCGTAGTTAGCCTCCTTCACGCTCTCCTCTGAAATATAAACCCAGCGTGTATGATTATATTTGTGTACACTAACAGATTACATGTGATCTAGTTTACTGTGTATGAATACATAAAGTACTAAGTTAAGATGAAACTATCTAATAATGCTAACATTTCATTGACCTCTCTGTGATGAACACCACATCTTGATATTGTAAAACATTGTCTCGTCAAAATTCATAATCTTTTAATCTAACATGAACAACTGAAGCTCGCAAAAGATTGACGGACCCCTTATAATTAAGTCTTGCAATTCACGTCGTCCATCACCTCGTTAGAAACATTTCTATAAATAGTTTTCCATGATTATTTGTCTGTCTGCCTTTAACAAACACGAGTGCTTACACAACGGACAATTGTGCGGAAACACATATACGTATCAAACGTGAGAATGCGATTCCATGTTTTCCATCAAACTGAAGAGAACTAGAGAAGTAAATTGAGGAAGATTTAAATGTTGAGATCTTTAGCACTCACCTGACTGAGTCTCCTCAGCCAGCTCACGAGCTGAGACCTGCGCGGCCATGAGAGCAAGAACGGCCAAGAGGAGGCCGCACAGAAGAAAAACCCTAGGGGAAGCCATTTTCATCGTCGAGGGCTAGTGGATCGCCAGAGAAATCTCACGGAAGACAGTGCAAGCGAGTGCGTGGTTACACTGCAACTGGGGCGGCCTATTTATAAGGTGGAGAGTGGGCGTCAGACAAGAAGATATGAGTGTAAAACCTCAAGAAATTAATATCTTAAGGCAACAAGAGTGGCGGCTAAAGGCAGCCATAATTGCTTTTGTATATTGTGTTTAATAATATATTTGTACATCTCTTTGTAAGAGAACGAATGGGAATAAATACAGGGAAGAGGAACAGTGCTAGGGCTCCAATTATAGTAACAAATTCAGTTATGGAATAGAAAATATATAAAGACTAATTAGGAAAATAATCATGGAGGAAATCTCTGCTGAGTTGTAGCCTTGCTGTCTAACATCCCCTCG